GGGGGGGGGGGGTGGGGGGCATACAAGTTTAACAATAAATAAATAAATAAAATAAAACCTATCATTTTCTAGCAGCGTCCCATTGCCCTTATGACCGGTACAGCCCATTTGGCTGCCCCTTCTTTTAGTAAGTAAAAGTCACCTTTGTGTGATTCATGGGAAACTCCACTGCCCAACGCACCACAGACAGTTCGCCCTGAGTCGTGACGGTCAGGAATTGGTCCAAACGTCTCTGGCAAACTCCCATGAGGACACAGAAGTACCGGCTGGCCTGCTGCTGGTCGAGGTACATCCTGTCCCAACCTTTGTAGTAGTTGCATCAGCACATTTTGAAAGTTGGTTATTTGTACATCTACCTGTCGTTGGTATTGCAACAATGCTGCAGCAGGGTGTTCAGTGGCAGCTGCATGCCAGTGACGGCCAGAGATGGCCAGGATCAGAGGCCATCCCCAATAATGAAAGTGAGATCTTCGACCTCACTTAAAAGAGAGCACGAGACTTGCACAGTTGATGTCAGCCTTATAAGGTAGACCGGACCAAGAAACAGACACCCGCAGGGCTGACTCCTGCTCGCAAGATAGGTATAGATCAACCTCTTTATGATCTGCTCTAGGATCTTTCCAGACAGATTTGAAGTTTCCTGGATTTTCCTTAGTCCTTTTTTTAAGACTGACAACATTTCCTCTATTCCAGTCATCTGGCACTTCACCAGTTCTTTAGGATTATTCAACAGTAATACATAATACATGATCCTGGAGATTTAAACTCCTTTAAAATAAAGAAGTATTCCCTGACCAATCCTTCATCCCGCCCTTCATGGCTTTCTGGTGTGAAAGAAGGCTGAAGCAAAATAGGCACTGAACAGCCTTTGTTTTTTCTTTTTTCCATGAGCTGCCTTCATTGATCAGCTTTCCTTTCCTTTTCTGAACTTACATCTGACAACGCTTTGCAGGACCTGCTTTTCTTTCATACTGTTGTTCTGAATTTCACTGAACATTTTGTGGAGTGGCTTCTGCTGTCCTCTTGCTTTTAGGATCTCCTTCCTTAGTAACTAACGTGTTTTGAGCTTCTTTTTCCATCAGCTTCTCGTGCCATGAGCTCCCAGTTATCGTTGCTCTGAGTTTATGAAAAGTCTGACGTTTGGGTGTTGAAGCCCAGGATATGCGGGTGCTATTTTTCCTTTGTTCAGCTCTGACCTGACTCAGGCAAACCTGAGGATCTGGCCCAGATAGACCCCAATCCTGTAGCAATGAAGTTGTAAAAGTCAGGGGAAAGGAGGGTCTCCAGCAGTCCTAGGCTAGATGAGGCCATGGCGCACAGGAGGAGCAGCCAACTGTGCCCCATCAAGAGAGCAGCTCTCTAGAGCAGAGGAGCCACGTGGCTGTTTGCAGCAGTGGCTTTCTTTGAAAGGGCCAGTAAGAGAAACATATAACTGAAAAGCTGCTGCATATAAAACATGTTTCCTGACATTTGCAGAAAAGCAGCTGAAGGAAATTTCATTTGACGTTCTACTAAATGTCAGTTTTATATGAGATCCAAACCTGAAGATGAATCCTCCAAACATTAATTGGAGACATGAGGCTCCCATTAGCTAGGACAAAGCAGTGTGTCCCTATTGCTTCTGATGCCTTGACTGATAAAATTATTCTTTTATAGTCTAATTAATCAGAATGTCATTCTGTCTGCTGGAATTTGTTCTTGAATTCACGTTGCTCCAAGATTTCCCCCAGCAGCACTATAAAACAGTTCTCCTGAGACTGGCATACTGTATGGGTCAAAGGACCCAACGGGACTGTTGTATCGCAGAAAAGGTTCCTTAGGAGTACGTGCCCACCGGCTTTCATTCCTCTTCCATGTCAAAGCATTCCTTTCCAGATCAATGACATAGGATGGGCAGACACTACCTGGAGTAAATGGTTGCAGAGATAACAAAGACCAGACTGGTGCAATACACAACCTGCCACCTGCCCCTCTCTTGGCCTTGCTATTGAGACCACTGATGGACCCAAAACCTGGGTGGGCAGATATCAAAAGAGATCAACAACACTACCCTTGCCCACCCAGGTCTTAGAAATACACAGCAGCTCTGCCTGCTTATCCACCACCAAATTGTGGATGAACATGGTCTCTAATCCTCTGGCAATATCCCCATCCTCCATGTTTCCTCAAACTTCACAGAAAGAGGTTCTGAGATGACATCTGCAATTCCTTCAAGGCTCTTAGATGTAATTGATTTACTCCTGGAACTAAAACTCTAACCATCTCTTTATTTACCTCTAAGGATCAGCACAAATCCAGGGGCAGTTGAGGGGGCAAATGGCTGCAGGCCTGGGCGGAACAAAAGGGTCTATGACCTGATGCAAGCAAATGAAAAAAATACTTGAGGAAGTTCCTAACTCTGCCAGGCAAAGAATAAACAACCTATGAAACACCCCCCCCCCCAACCCCCAGAGTTTGATTCTCACAAAATCTGTTAGCCAGATTCATTGCAAGGAAAAAGGGGTCAGGTTATAGAACCTTGACAACTCCTAGAAAGGCTTGTACTTTAATCCTGCTTTTACCAGCAAGTACTGGTGGGTCCTCCCTGATGCCTCTTATCCTCTCTTTCACTTTTTCCCTCTCTCCTTTTTAAAAAATATTGTTTTATTGTATTATAAGACTCAAATAATACATCATATTATTTGTGTACAGTGGTATTTATACAACTATTAATACTGTGATGACTTATGTAACTTAAACCTTTAAAGATAAGGAAAAAGTTTATATCAATATTAACTATGCTTTCTAAAATGTTAATAAACACTCTTTTTCACTTTCTCTTGATTTAGGCAGGGACTGGTTAACTGTCTGAAAGAATGTTTTTGCTCCACTTTGTTTTGCAAATGTTCATTCTGGTTCTCAGGCTCAGAAGGTTCCATTTGACCACCTTAAGGTGGCAAAAGTCTCCCTCCCTAAGGACCCGAGGCATGTTCCAGCTGGCCTGGCCTGCCTATTGACTGCATTCTCACAAGTACATGGGGAGAGGAGGGTTGGATGGGTGGATGGTCAGGAAAAAGGATGTACAACCTATGGAGCAACAGTGCAATGCACCAGCCAAATGGAGCTCATTCATTCATTCATTCATTCATTCATTCATTCATTCATTCATTCAATCAATTTATATAGCTGCTCATCTTAACAAGTGACTCTGAGCAGCAAACAAAATTAAAATTAAATTAAAAACAATTACTGTACACCAACAATACAAAAATTAAAATACATAGCAGCCAAGGAAGGGATCAAGTCGACAGCCATTAATGCAACCAGGAGATGGGCCCCTTCACACTTTCGGGGCCCCAGGCTCAAAGCCAGGTCTTTAGGGTCTTACCAAAGGCCAGAGGATCAGGACCATCCTAATCTCCATGCACTCCATGTTCCTAAAGCTCATTCAATTTGAGGAGCAGCCACCAATGAGAACCTTGAAGCCCACCCTGAGAGCGGTCACATGCACATTTGTCTACCTGGGACATTTAAACCTGTATTGCAAACTAGCCCCCAAAAGCCCCTCTGAATCTGTGAGGGGAAAACATGCCGCAGCTCCCTGGGGTACGTCTGTAATGTTTGAAAAAAGCAAAGCCGATTCTGCCCTTGGCCTGAGACTTCAAGCCTGCAGGGTATCAGCCAATGGCCTGGCGACATTCTGCCCACCTGGCCCCAGCAGCCTCTTCTGACAGAGGGGGAAAGTGCGGAGATCGGACACGCCGGCCAGAAATGCCTCTTGCGCCAGATCCTGGCAAGTAGCATTGGGGAGCCGGCTTTGTTTCTCCCCCGCTCAGCTTTTGCCTAACTAGCTACAGGTAAACCATGTTTGACCACAGATCTGCTACTTGACAAACAGTTTATTTTATTTATGTCTTTGTTCTTTATTTATTGATTTTGTATCTATATGCTCCCAACAAAGCCAAATCTATATGCTCCCAACAAAGCATGGCCAGTTTAGAAAAGCAGATCATTGTTAATGGAGTAATTTAAAGTGATGAAATGTTGCAGATCTAATTAAGACTAAAACCTTCAAGAACCCGCTGGATTATCAAGAAAGTGGCCTGCAGAATATCTCTATTCTCTCTTTGGGAGCCTCCTTGTCTCTGTTCAGGTATGATGGGAAGTCACCCATAAACAAGTCCCAGACAATGAAAAGGCCCCTTGGCCTCCAGTTCTGAGCGGGTGCAATGTCTCCCTCTTCCTCTCCGCCCAGCAGCCAGCGGCTTCGGGGGAAGGTCTGCCCTGTTTTTTCTGTGAGTTGTTTCCAAGAATTCTGCCAGCGCTGAGGATTTTCAAACCAGGTGGACGGGAAGCAGTGCTCGTAATCTGCCGTACTTGAGAGGCCCTGTGTTGAGCCACCCCGAGCCACAGGAAGATGCCCTGCACTGGCATTTACCCACACAGCTTTTGCCTAGAACTCCAGGAGGGCAATGGCGGCGGCCTCTCCTTCTGCTTCAGGGAAGGTGAACGTCCGGCACAGCTGAGCCCCAGCTTCGTTCTACTCCCCTCCTCCCTCCTCATCAAGGGAAGGAACCAGGGAGGAGCCCCAGCTCTCACCCTCCACCCCAACTCTTACCTCTGGCCTCAAAAAAGTGGGGCAGACTCTTCCAACGTTTGGCTGGTGGAGCTGTTTCTGCCGCTTGTCACTCCCAAGTTCCCCAACAGCAATTAAGGGAAGCTCGCTGTGGGAGGGGGGAGCTCTTTCTCTTCTCATTCTTATCCAAATCCCCTTCCCCAACCCTGCTGTTAACTCTCCCCCCAAGATTCAAGGTATGAACAGAAACCCTATTTTTACACTCCTGCATTTCAGAACCAAAGAGAGTTTTGCTCCCTGCATTAAAACAATAACCATAGAGAACTACCCAGATTTACAAAGATCCATACTCAAGAATGACTTTACACAAGAGGAGCTACTGAATGCCCCTTGGCCTCCAGTCCTGAGCGGATGCAACCTCTTCCTCTCGCTCTCTGCCCAGCAGCCAACCAGCTTCTTTCTGAAGCCGGTACTTTTTAAACCCAAGCACATTCACACAATTCAGCCGCTTCAGCTGCCTTGCAAAGGGCTTACAGAGCAGTTCCCTGTACCCCTTCTTGGTTTGGTTTGATTCCTCTTGCATGTCCGCCTTGTGGGGCCCCACCCGAATCTGAATTGGCTGCTCCTCAGTTCTCCCACAGCCTGGTCCCATGGGACTTGCCCACCCAGCCAGCTCTCTGGAAGCAAAGCTACTGGCTGGCACAGAGAAAGTCCTGCACATTCTCCCTTTACCACTT